ACTATTGGCCAACATTATAGATCTGAGTTTTGAACAATTATTTTTTAAGTCAGTATGAATATCACTTATAAATTATATACCCAGTAGTATTAAATGCGGTAACATAGTGCTTAGCATATAATAAGTGTTCAGTAAATGATGCTGATTACTCTTTCTGTGCGATTGTGTCTTCTAACATAGTTTGGTTGCATATTTGCTGCTTGGATTCTTCTTTCTTCTGGTCTCAGAAGCAAGGATGGGGTAAGAAGTTATATAAACGAGTTAGAATGGACATTTTATGGGAAATTCAGTCTTATGGGAGACAGGCCTGTCCTTATGGAGGAGATGAAGACTGGTCATCTAGCCTTTAGCGTCACCATTCTAGTCCACACTACACCATAGATTCCAGAAAGGAACTCACCAAATGTGAGTGTGACAAGAAGCAGACATCCAGATACTCATTCTTGATTCTTTCATTACCTGGGTGATCTGGAAAAGTTAAATTCCATTCTCTAGTTGCAAAAACACTTGGTCAAAATATTTGCAAAAATGAAAAATGCCATGATTATTTGGACCACGTTTCCCGTGGGCAATCGCATGTTCAGCTGGCATCGCACGTCCAGTCTTCCCTGTCAGTTCACCCTGCAACCTGCCTGTGGTTAGCACCTTGGATTGGTACCCTCAGACAGGTGCTGTAACTCAGAGGGTAGGTTTGTCTTCTTGTGTGGTGGTCAGCACCGAAGGCTTACTGTGGTAATGGCCATGCCTTTGTGTTCACAGATCTTCATACTTTTGGGATTAGTCTGGAGGAAATGCCTGCTGTGTCTGAACCGTGCTCAACATAACATTTCAGGGTGAAAACAGCAACTTTATTGTTCTATTGTAGATGCCAAAAGCTGGACTGGAATGACCCACTGTTAGCTGAATAGTTCTTGTCTGAGCCTCAGCTTCCTTCAGAGTGTAGGAATTACAGGGCCTTTGGCAGGGGTTCCTGGTGGGGTCAAACAGTGTGGGCAGGTGGTCTGTACATTTTCACTCCCACTCCATGTCCAGCCCGGTGGCTCCCTCTTCAGCCTTTCTCAGAAGTCCTCTCCCCTTTGTCCTCTCCTGTCTTCCTCTCTCCCCTTCAACTTCTCTCTCCTGTGCCTCTCCCCGTGACGCTTTGGTCAACTAAGGGAATTATATTATCACAGATTGAGTAAACAATACTGTATTCAAATAAATTTGTTTCCTTATACAAAGTAAGTCCTTTCAATACATGCTGTCCTGAATCACAATTTTTGGGTGATTGGCAACTTGAAGCCATTACAGAATACCTTAATTGTGAGATTTGACTAATAGTTTATGCGTTATGCATTGAATACAAGGACTGCTAGCTTCGTCCTGTAGTTAATCTCTGAAAGTTAAATATGCACTGTATATTTAGTTCAGGAAAAAGCACTTAAACTGTTTCTGAGGGTAATCATTAATTTGATTAGTGAAAAGTCCACAGTGGTTTCCTGTTGTTTCTTCCTACTGTCTTAAATGTCAGTACTTCAGAATTGTTTTTTAAGCAAAGTTTCATTTCTTGTTCCCAGATGGAGATAACAGCCTCTTTCTATGGATTATTGATTACTGGCATAAAAAGATCTTTGCACATTGTAATTTGCTGAAAAGAGAGGTTTGGGTATTTATCATGTGTCAGTAAAGGTATTCCATATCTGTCTTGACAAGATAATTAAGTAAAATTGCACATCAGGCAAACTGAATTGTAGGCAGGGGAGAAAAAGTATGTGGGCAATGGGGAAGGTAATGTTGATTGTGAAAGACAGTACTCAGAATCCAGACAGACATAGAGGAACTCAACTCTTACATTTAGTCATTGTCCATTCTGTGGATGAGTCCATCATGAACACTGTTTATCAGGGAGTTAGGAATGAGATGTTGACAGAACTCTTTCCGATGATTGCTGCTAGGAGAGAGAACTAATAACCACATTACAGAAAGAATCCTGTTTTTGAAGTAGTGGTTGTAAGGGTGCTTGCGCTTCATGAATCCATGATTGCTTTGTGATGTGGGGAACAAATGTACGTTTGGAATCTAGATAGATCTCAGTGCCTACTCTGGAACAAGTCACTCACCTCTCTGAATGGTAGTTTCTCATCTGTAAGTTGATAGTGATCCAGCCTTAACTTACTTAGCATGGTAATTAGCATAATCAATACAAGTTTGTTTTCCCATCTGCAAATCTTTGTCATTAAGACTCATCTTAATGGTGTTAACCTGTACATTTGCCTCTTCACTACATTGTTTTCAAGTTTGATTTTGCAAATTCTGAAGGAATATCAGAAATTCTGAGTCACTCCTATACCACCATGTGTTTACTTTCTTTCTTTCTTTTTTTTTTTTTTTAATTTTTTGACAGGCAGAGTGGACAGTGAGCGAGAGAGACAGAGAGAAAGGTCTTCCTTTGCCATTGGTTCACCCTCCAATGGCCGCCGCGGCCGGCGCGCTGCGGCCGGCACACCGCGCTGATCCAATGGCAGGAGCCAGGAGCCAGGTGCTTTTCCTGGTCTCCCATGGGGTGCAGGGCCCAAGCACCTGGGCCATCCTCCACTGCACTCCCTGGCCACAGCAGAGAGCTGGCCTGGAAGAGGGGCAACCGGGACAGAATCCGGCGCCCCGACCGGGACTAGAACCTGGTGTGCCGGCGCCACTAGGCGGAGGATTAGCCTAGTGAGCCGTGGCACCGGCCCATGTGTTTACTTTCTTTAAGAGATACAGTTGCATTCTTTAAATAATGAGACATTGAAGAATATTTTCCAAGCAACTAACCCTTTATACTTGCTGTTCCTTGTAGAGGCTTTGTGCTTTCTTGCCTTGATAATTTGGTTCACATTATTTCTGCTTTATTCCTTTCTACAATACCAGCCTCCAGTAAGTTTCCCCCCCTGCCCCTTACATTATCATTGAGTTCTACTGCCTCTGAAGTCATAGCTTTTAGTGACCTTACTGTTAGTTGAAATGTATTTGTGCTCTTTGTCAGCCCATACTATTGTTTTGTTTCCTTGTTTTTGTTTTTGTTTTTGTTTTTTTTTGTTTTTTTTTTTTTTTGACAGGCAGAGTGGACAGTGAGAGAGAGAGAGACAGAGAGAAAGGTCTTCCTTTTGCCGTTGGTTCACCCTCCAATGGCCGCTGCTGCCGGCACGCTGCGGCCAGCGCATTGCGCTGATCCGAAGCCAGGAGCCAGGTGCTTCTCCTGGTCTCCCATGCGGGTGCAGGGCCCAAGGACTTGGGCCATCCTCCACTGCACTCCCGGGCCATAGCAGAGAATGGGCCTGGAAGAGGAGCAACCGGGACAGAATCTGGTGCCCTGACTGGGATTAGAACCCGGCATGCTGGCGCCGCAAGGTGGAGGATTATCCTATTGAGCCATGGCGCTGGCTACTATTGTTTTGCGTTGTTATTTAACTCTGAGTATTTGCAACTCAGCTATGCTTTCAAACCTGGATGAGAGTTCTATGCTGTTAATCTTTGCAACTGCCCCAGTGCTGAGCATGGTGCTTGATATGGAGGGGAAACCCAATTTTTTACTTATCTGCTGTTTGGCATTTATATATATATATATGTGTGTGTGTGTGTTGAAAGTTTTTCTTTGTATCACATAATGGTCCTTGGAATTGAGAAACTAAAGATAAAGAAGATGTAATACAATGTATGGCATTAAGCAGCATTTAGTCTGGGAGTCAGATGGGATAATAAGTAGTTAAACTATGTTATTAATATAGAGTAAAAGGATATCTAGTAAGTGCCAGTAGTTGGAGGAGGCAGTGAGGGAAATTTTTATAGACTGGGGACATACTTACAAAGAAGGATATTTTTGTTAATGTTTGAACTCTGTGTTAATGGAAAAAGAAGATTTCTCTTGTAGTGAAAAATAAAAAAATCATTTTATTGTAATTTACTTGATATTTTGGTTTGGAGATTTTCCTTATTATCCAAAGTAATATCTCATTCTCAGAAAAGTTTTAAAACTCTCTTAATAATATCTTTATCTACATAAACCAAAAGCATGTATGTTTTGACACTTTCTAAAGTGATATTTATGCTAAATAGTATATCATTTTTCAGAGGAGTAACTAAAGTCTTATGAACCCAAATTTGATGAATCGGAAGTTCTCATTTCCTGCCCCCAGTGTTTTTATTGTTGTCTGAGAGCCCGGGAAGCTGGGCATTTCTTTCAGTGTGGGGCTATCTCTTCAAGTTAGGCAGTGTGGGACTCACAGTTCAGTGGCTTTTCACTGAATCAGAGACTTCTGTCCAGGAAGCACAGAACAGAACGAAACACTTCCCTTCCTTCTAGGTAAATCACAAATTAACCAAACATGATAGTTCAACCTTTCATGACTTTCAAAAATTACATTCCAAAGATGTCTATATTGGGATGAAGGTAGTAAGATACGTTTTATTCAAGTGCCATTATAACAGATAATGCAAGTGAAAGTGTGATTACTTTTTGTTTCCTATTTTAACTTCATTGTAACACAGTATCAAATTTGAGTCTATTGAGTATCAGCTCCAGACTCCTGGATGTAAAACTTAGGCCTAAAATTTTGTGTTTTATTCCCTTTACCATTTCCTGAATTCCTGATATAAAAAGATGGCTTACATTTTTATAAAGAAGTACACATTTTAAGCTTTTCTTGTGAGATGAAGAAATGATTTATGATGGGAGTGGACAGATCTGGACTAATTTCCTAGCTGGGAAGCATCGAGCAGCTCTCCCAGCTGCAGTAATGTCTGCTTCACAGATGTGCTGTAGGCCCACAGGAGGTGACATGAAAGTTGTGTAGTGCAGTTATGGGTCCTGGCACCTGTTTGTTTCCCTTTTTATAAGCTAACTGAGAACTGGTGGTTTACTGTCTTTGATTAAGCATGAAGAGGGACCTATGAGAAATACTCTTTCTTACTGGGCTTAAAATAGTTCTTTTGCTAATAAAGGCAATAAATCTTAGCAGAGTTTTTTTGACTCTTAATTTCAGTTTGTCCACAGTAGAAATTGAAAAGCGAGCCCAAGCCCTTCATCTCTTTGAGACTTTGAAGACGGATCCTGAAAGCTTCCACACACACATGGTCAAATACATTTATCCCACTATTGGTGGCTTTGATCACGAAAGACTGCTGTATTATTTCACTCTCCTGGAAAATTATGGCTGTGCAGATTTTGGGAAATCTGCCATCAAACCAGAAACCCACATTCGACTCTTGAAGAAATTTAAGGTAGTTGCTTCAGGTAGGACGATCATTTCTTTGCTCAAACTCATCTTTTTTGAAAGTCTAGGGTTTAATTTTCTAAAAGCCATCATGTGTATGCATGTGACACAAAAAGTTGAAGCAAATTCATTTTAGTTATTGTCTTTCCAACTCCTTTACTCACTGTTGAGGAAATTAAGCATTAGCAAAAACAAGAAGCCCATTGCAAGGCACACAATGCCCTATGGTCCACCTAGTACTGAAAATCCAAAGTCTTAGATGCTGCCTCGGAGACTTTCCCTCATCCCACTGGTTATGTTATATTTAAGTTGTATTAATATCATAGTGTGTTATGTATGTAAAATATATAAAATGCATATATATATGGATATATGACAAGGCTTTACAGAAGATAGTCTGGCAGAATTTCGTGTCATTCGAGCCCATATGTTTAAAACGTGTAAGGAGAACATGAAATAAGAGCATTTGAATCATTGATAAATGGTGGAAATCTTTAGAATGGTATCTCTATGCTCACAGCTAAGAAATTAAATACTTTAATACCTCTTGAATATTCATGATGCTTTGTAATATATAAGATACTTTCAAGTCTGCGTTAAATTGATACTAGGAATTGTGAGAATTTATTTCAATTCATCAGTTGGTTACTGAATAATCAAATTAGACCCTGGGCTAGACACAGAAGAGCAGGAATCAGATTCATTCCCTGCCTTCAGGTAGCTGGTGAAATGCCAGGTAAATAACAAATTAATGTAATGCAATTTGGTGAGTGTATTGGTAGAGGAAAATGTTGGTGTTCTGGGGAACTGAGAGGCAAGGAGATATTGCCACCTCCAGTGTACACATGAGAAAACTGAGGCACACAAAAGTTGGGTGACCTGTATGGGATTACACAGTTGAATAATTTTCAGGTTGGAACTAGAATTCAAGTCTTCTGATCCATTCCACTGAAAACCTGAACTGTCCACTACTACCAAGTTGATGAGTACTCTTAGTCAGCCATGAAGTGGGCTCTGTGTGTGTTTGAAGGCACCTGGGTGAAGGTTTACACTGGAGTGCCACTTCCATGTTTCCTCTGTTCTCTTCTTTCTGATAGGCCTCAATTACAAAAAGCTGACGGATGAAAATCTGAGTCCCCTTGAAGCCCTGGAGCCAGTTCTTTCAAGTCAAAACATCTTATCTATTTCCAAACTTGTTCCCAAAATCCCTGAAAAGGATGGACGGATGCTTTCCCCCAGCTCTCTCTACACCATCTGGTTGCAGAAGTTGTTCTGGACTGGAGACCCTCACCTAATTAAGCAAGTCCCAGAGTCCTTACCGGAATGGCTCCATGCCTGCGACGTCTGCATGAAGTACTTTGATCGCCTCCACCCGGCTGACCTCATTACTGTTGTGGATGCCATGACATTTTCTCCTAAAGCTGTGGCCAAGGTAACCAAGAAAGTAGTTTAAAGTAAATTGAGCACTTTAGAAGAAATTAAAATTGCTTTTCAGTTCTGTAGATTTTGTTTTTATTTCTTTTTTGAAATAGAAAATACTTGTAATTATTTGTTTGGCTTTTTTTTTTTAGTGAGTATGAAGTGTTTTAATTAGAAAATCAGTTTCCTCTGTTGCATATTTACAAATGGTCTCTCTGACATGCTTCTTCATTTTTTTAAGATTTCTTTATTTGAAAGGCAGAGTGACAGAGACAGACAGAAAAAAAAGATCTTTTATCTGTTGGTTCACTTCCCAAATGATCACAATGGCTGCAGCTAATCCAGGCTGAAGCAAGGAACCCAAAAATCCATCCGGGTCTCCTATGTCGGTGACAAGGGCCCAAGTACTTGTACGATCTTCTGCTGTTTTCCCAAGTAAGTTAGCTGGGATAAGGATTGGCAGACACACAGCTGAGATTCCAATCAGTGCTGGAGGTGACATGCAGGTGTTGCAAGGAACCATTTAACCACTGCACTGCAGCACTGTCCCCTGACATGTTTCTTGTAATTGACGTGTACATTTGATGCTTGCTGTAGTTCTCACAGTTTGCTGATTTAAGGTAAATATCACCTCCTTTTCTTTCCAGCTGCCTGTGTGAAGGAACTCTGGTGTCCGAACCTGCATTTGGACCCAGGCTAACACCTGAGCTGTTGTTACATTGAGCCCTTAAAAACTTTGGCATGAACATCATCCAGCATACAACCTGGTGATGGGATTGTCTCGGGGAGTACACGCCCCATTGTCCTGTGTCTACCGCATGCTTGGATCTGAGCCCTTTGACTGGATCCGAATCCTAATTCCTCAACTAGGTGTAATTTCACTCGGAATGGATAATGTGGAACTTTCTCGTCCCCTTTCTATCCTCCACCCAAACCATACTGCTCTCAAAAGCAGGTTTCTTACTGCACAGACCCGGGACAATATCTCTCTTGAAAAATCTCATGGCTCACTTGGTTGGTCCTCCACCTGCGGCACCAGCATCCCATATGGGTGCCAGGTTCTAGTTCTGGTTGCTCCTCTTCCAGTCCAGCTCTCTGCTGTGGCCCGGGAGGGCAGTGGAGGATGGCCCGAGTGCTTGGGCCCCTTCACCCGCATGGGAGACCAGGAGGAAACACCTGGCTCCTGGCTTCGGATCAGCATAGCTCCGACCGTGGCAGCCATTTGGGGAGTGAACCAACGGAAGGAAGACCTTTCTCTCTGTCTCTCTCTCTCACTGTCTAACTCTATCAGTCTAAATAAATAAATAAATAAATAAATAAATCTCTGGCCTTTTGTCTCAGCTGCTGAATTGTGTGGCCTTAGGAATGCCCTTTTTATCTTCTTTTGCCATCTCTGGTGCTGTCTTCCACAAAATCAGCGAGTCTGCCCAGCCCTCTATCGCCAATGGTTTTATTCTAGTTGATTCTATTCTGAAGATGAAGTAGTTATAAAGAATTGCCAATAGTTTTGTTTGGGGATTGGTACAGGGATAGGTTCAGAAATCTTTCAAGAGTACTACTTTTAACCAACTCAGATGAATAATTGTGGATAATTCATTTTCTATTGCTATAACTCAAGTAATTTGTCTAATAATTTTATTTTCAGTTTTGTAACCACTGCTATAAAAAGGAGTTGAAATCATTTTTTTTTTTTGTTTCTAAGGAAGAAAATAAGGATGATTTTAAAGGAATGGTATAGTATGTTTGAAAAGAGTGTAAGTTTAACTATATGTGAACCTTGATATTTCCACCTGCCAGTTATGTGGTTTAGTCTCAGCAATCTGCTAGAGAAAAGGGGCTGTGGCTGAGTAATCTCTGAGGTAGATACTACTATTAGACCAGTTTATAGGTGAGAAAACAGGCTCAGCCCAGTTAAGCTGGTAATAGAGGAGCCACCATTTCAACTCCAGGAGACTTACCCAGGACCTTCTCTCTCAGCCCCTGGGCTGACCTGCTTCCAGGAAGTTGTAGAAAAGAAGTAGCGGTAGTCAAGGGACCGGAGCCAGTCTAGAGACCCAGAGGGACAGGATGACTATGGAGTCCCGGAGGAACAGCTTGTTCTGTGCTGTTTGCAGAGGATGGCGGAGTCTAAAATAAGAAAGGCTAGGCTGGAAGATGGTAACCTGGTAACGTATGCGAAGGGACCGAGCCCAGTGAGCAGTTTATAATCCAAGGAAATGGCTGCTGAGCTGGGGACCGTGACCCAGCTGAAGGTGTGTAAAGTGATCAGCCAGAAGGTGGAGAAGGCTTCCTTCTGCAGCAGTCTATAGCCCCACTCTAGGCTGACGGAGGTTTGAGATGTTTTAGGGGAGAGCAGGAAGGTTGAGTCAAGGCTGTGTGCTGATTGTGGACTTGTACATGGAGGTGATCAGACAGATGGAGACTTTCTAAGGGCAACTGTTTATTCATGATTAAACTTCGGAATTGAATGTAGAGATTCACTGGAAGTTTTTACTATAATTGATGATATTTTAAGTCAGGTTATTTTAAATTATAGCATATCCCCACCACCTTAGGTTCCCAAGTTTATGCTTTTAATTTGTTCTCCAACTGTCAAAAACTGTGTGGCAAATTGTGCACACGTGTGTACTTTAAAGATTCATTCAGTTCACTTCTGAATTGCTGTCTTTTAAACTTAGAGGGTATAATTCAAGCATAGCAGCTTAACCTGCTGTGCCACAGTGCCAGTCCCAATCTTGTACTTCAGTCTAGCTACAATACTTTTTCTCACTTTATAAATTTACAAGGTTTTAATTTTCCATTAAGAGAGGAAATGTGTAATATTTAGATTATCTGCATGATTGATATATATATAAATGTATATATGAGAGGGAGAGAGAAAGAATACAAAAAAAAAAAAACGCAACAAAATGAAACTCAACTGCACATGTCACAAGACACATTTGGAAGAGAACTCGCAGCTGGATTTGTCCAAAGTTGCAAAACACCAGGTGTTTCCACAGCTTGTACATGATGTTAAAAATGTAAAATAAGTGTGTATTGTTCATACAGTGTGCAGTTTACAGATGTGGATCCACATTTAATTCAGAACCAGATTTTTGAAAATAACTGGTAAGCTAATTCTAGAGTCTGTAACAAGAACGATAGGTCTTCAGGTAGTAGAATTCTGAAGCAGTGTCCCCAGGGTTTGAATGGAGTACCCAATCTATGGTACAACATACCTGAGAAAGATTGTTTGCCCTCATGTTAATTGTCATTCAGTTGCCATTTGTGTTAGAAGAATACTCAGAAATTTTGTGTAAAATTTACAGAAAAATTAAGTCATGTAAGCAGAGACTGAATTTACAAAACATTACAAAAATTGTTTGAAAGGCAGAATGACACGGAGAGTCAGAGTTGGAGGTCTTCCAGCTGCTTGTTCACTCCCACAAAGCCGCATACCGCTGGCTGAGCCATGCCGAAGTCAAGATCCAGGAACTCCATCTGGGTCTCCCACATGGGTGGCAGTGGCCCAACCACTCGGGCTGTCCTCCACTGCCTTCTCAGGTACATCCGCAGGGAGCTGGATCTGAAGTGGAGCAGCCAGGACTCCAACTAGCACTCTGATATGGGATGCTGGTGTTACAAGTGGCAGCTTAACTTGCTGTGCCACAGTGCCTGCCCCCTCATGACATTTGAGGTAATGAGTATGTAGGAGGGGAAAGGATGCAGATGTTGAATTCTAAGTTGTTTTGTTTTGGTGGGGTCAGATTAGGGTTGTTCTCCTATTGCCTGTCTAATTCGGCAATTGGAGACTTTTTTTTTTTTTTTTTTTTTTTGGCAGGCAGAGTGGACAGTGAGAGAGAGACAGAGAGAAAGGTCTTCCTTTTGCCGTCGGTTCACCCTCCAATGGCCGCTGTGGCCGGCAGTGCACTGATCCGAAGCCAGGAGCCAGGTGCTTCTCCTGGTCTCCCATGCGGGTGCAGGGCCCAAGCACTTGGGCCATCCTCCACTGCACTCCAGGGCCATAGAGACATTTTTATAGAAAGAACAGAGAGCAAATTTGTACATTTGGAATTCCAGGACGGGGGCTAGCATTGTGGCACAGCAGGTTAAACTGGTGCTTCGAACACCATCTCTCATCCCCATATCACAGTGCCTGTTTGGCTGCTCCACATGTGATCCAGCTCCGTGCTAGTGTGCCTGGGGAAGCACATCAGATGGACCAAGTACTTGGGCCCTTTTGGAGTTTCCTGGCTCCTGGCTTTGGCCTGGCATAATCTTAGCCCTGTGACCTTTTGGGGAGTGGACTCAGTGGATGGAAGATTTTCTGTTTCTCTGTGTCACTTTCAAGTAAGTAAACATTTGAGGGGAAAAAAAAGCCCCATGTGATCACAGAATTTAAAAAGGCCTCTAGACTCTTTGCAGGTGCTTCTTGGCCTGGAACTGAAAAGGCTTTTGCCACTTTCTTCCCGGGGTACCCCTCAGGTACCCTGTGTTCTACTTTCCTCCATTTCTGATTCATTGTGATTGTAAACTGTTGTTTCTGATGGGACCAGGTAGTTTCTTTTGGGTTGGGACAGAAAAATCAGGGAGAATCTCTCATGTAGTATGACCTTCAAACATCATTCTTTCTGGTAATGCAGCCACCATTATTTTTACTTTCACCCACCCTCCCTCCTTGTGATTCCCACTCATTTTCTTTTTCTGCCTTCCGGCGCTAAGGAAACAGTATAAGGGCATCTCTGTTTCATATTATGATTGTTCAAATTCTTGAAGTAAGCTACTGTTTCCTTCCATACTATTATCTAAACTTTTTGACATAAAGATCTAGAAGAGTAAATCTACCTTAACAACCATGTTTTAATGTAAAAATAAAATAAGTTGCCTAAGTGTGAGCCTCAGTCAGAAGCTTCATTGCAGCTGTAACTTCAGGGCCTCTGCAGGGCTTGTGCTGTCACTAAGGAAGGCAGTGTATCGTTCACCGTAATAAACAGTATCTGAAATCAGTGTAAAAGTGTTTAAATGATATGT